AGAGAGAGAAGGAACAATGGGAAGTTATAGCTGAACAGAAACTCTATGTTGGGGAGATGAAAATTATTTGGAAACAGAACAGCAAGGGTTATGCACCATAGTGGATGAAATTAATGTCACTCAATTGGACATTCAAAATGGAAAATGTTTTGTTTTATATATTTTACTGCAATTTAAAAAAGAGTAAATCAGAATGAAAAAGCTACTGGAGTGTTCCTAGGGTTTGGAAAATGATATCACTTGCTAATTAGCAGCCTCGTATTCTTTGGGATACTAGGGAATGTGGGCTAAGACTGTCTGACTCTATCAGTATTTCCCACTCGGGGGGCCCTGGAACAATCCAAGGGAACTGCACAAGCAGAAACCCACACTGGATCCAGGAGTAGAGGCTCGGTCACAAAAGGTTTTCATTTCATATCAAAAGGGGTCCTGAGTACTTGGGTTTTTTTTCTGAAAAGAGGGTGGTAGGCCAAATCAATTTGGGAACCTAGGGTCCGTGGCTACCACCGCCATAGACAACACCCCTACTGATGTCATGGAGAGATTAGCTTTCTTAAGAACCAGGAAGGATCAAGCATTGTTCCCTGTCTAAACACATCTCCCCTCCAAATAAAATATCTTCTCTTTTAGATCAGAAACTTTGCAAATTGAAGAAAGAAACCTGCAAAGACAACGTGTGTGGGCAAAACTCCAAGTCCCATGTGTGCACATGTGCTGAGGGATATGTTTTAAGCCCAGACAAGAAGTACTGTGAAGGTAATGGTTGGGGCAAGGGAAGCCCACCTGAATAGTGGCCTGTTGTCTTCGGGGCCAACAGAGCCTCAAGTGGCACTCCCCGCTAACCTTGCCCCCAGAAAAGCAGCTTTAGGTTTTCTCTGTTTTGAAAGCTGTCATCAGCCTTTCGGGTCTTCTCTATGTCTTCTGCTTCTGGATCCAACGCTCTCGGAGGCAGCGCAGGGTTCGGACAAAGTAGGACTATCCTGAATGGGCACCGTGGACCACGTGCTTTCCCAGTGGGCAAAATGCAGTTTATACACTATGTTGAATAGGGTTCTCTAGAGAGACAAAACCAGGCACTAATGAGTTTATGTCTATATAGAACATAAGAAATACACAGTTAATTAATCTATAAAGTAGTACAAATGGCTCAGTGCAACTCACTTCTGTGAGACAGCTAATACACGGGCAGTCCTTCAAGTCTTGAGGGCTGCCATGTGGTCCCCTGTAGAGCAATTCAGACTATCCGGCCACAGGCAGCAAACTGCAAGGCGGGTCACCAACAGTCAGCCAGATGACAGGGTCCGACAGCCCCCAGCTCAAGCGATGTATACTCCAATAGCATGGTGAAGCAGGTCTTGAAGGAACCTCAAATTACAGTGACACAGTCCATGGGTTACATGTCCCACAGGTAGTGTAGCTTGCAAATTGAGGCAGAGAACAAGCTAAGGCAGCTGCACACTGGTCCAATGATCAAAGAGTAAGAGATAAGAAAGGCGAGGCTCGCTGAGCCATTTATATCTCAGCTCTTCAATTAATTGCATATGTGTTCATTGGCCATGTTGGCACAATAAACCTACCTATCACAATATACCCCTTTCCAAACTGGCACCTGCACACAATTCTTTAACCATATCTAATTTCCAGACATTAATGAAATCACACTTACACTTAACATGAAACATCTATCATACATATAAATGAAAACACACTGAGTCCAATTGTATCTGGTACATCATACATGAACAAAGGAAAGATATT